TACTATAGCTGTTGTGTTACCATAGTAACTGTAGAATCACCACAACAGATCAATTACTAATGATGTGTTACCATAGCAACTGTAGAATCATTACAACAGATCAATCACTATAGTTTGTTGTGTTACCATAGCAACTGTAGAGTCACCACAATAGATCAATTACTATAAATGTGGTGTTACCATAGCAACTGCAGAATCCCGGCAACAGATCAATTACTATAGTTGTTGTGTTACCATAGTAACTGTAGAATCACCACAATAGATCAATTACTATAGTTGTTGTGTTACCATAGTAACTGTAGAATCAATACAACAGATCAATTACTATAGTTGTTGTGTTACCATAGCAACTGTAGAATCACCACAACAGATCAATCACTATAGTTTGTTGTGTTACCATAGCAACTGTAGAGTTACCACAATAGATCAATTACTATAAATGTGGTGTTACCAATAGCAACTGCAGAATCCCGGCAACAGATCAATTACTATAGCTGTTGTGTTACCATAGTAACTGTAGAATCACCACAACAGATCAATTACTATAGTTGTTGTGTTACCATAGTAACTGTAGAATCAATACAAAAGATCAATTACTATAGTTGTTGTGTTACCATAGCAACTGTAGAATTACCACAACAGATCAATCACTATAGTTTGTTGTGTTACCATAGCAACTGTAGAGTCACCACAATAGATCAATTACTATAAATGTGGTGTTACCAATAGCAACTGCAGAATCCCGGCAACAGATCAATTACTATAGTTGTTGTGTTACCATAGTAACTGTAGAATCACCACAACAGATCAATTACTATAGTTGTTGTGTTACCATAGTAACTGTAGAATCAATACAACAGATTAATCTTTATAGTTTGTTGTGTTACCATAGTTACTGTAGAATCACCACAACAGATCAATCACTATAGTTTGTTGTGTTACCATAGCAACTGTAGAATCACCACAACAGATCAATCACTATAGTTTGTTGTGTTACCATAGTAACTGTAGAATCACCACACTTTTGGAAGAAGATAACATTACGAATCCACTGTGGGAGAGTTGGTAATATATTAGCCAATTTTCCCAGAGCACGATAAAAACAATGCAATCATATTATATATTTGTAAGATGATATGACATGGGAGTATTCTCAAACGGCAACAAAATCTGTTGGCAATTAAGAGGAGATAGACATACCCAAGAAAACAGAACTATTAGACCTGTTGTTACATTTTTATTTTTCCCCCAATTTCTGTTTAACTGAGAGGAGATTGTTTCAGCACATCTCTAATCATAATAACTTTAATAACTCATCTCTAATAACTGATTTATTTTCTCTTTGTCATGATGACAGCACATAATATTAGACTAGATATTCTTCAAGACACTAGTGTTCAGCTTACAGTGACATGTAAAGGCTTCACTAGGGTAATTAGGGTAAAGTTAGGGTATTGGGTATTAGGCTATACGCTGTTATTGTATAACAATGGTTTGTTCTGGAGACAATCCAAAACTAATATTGCTAAAGGGGGCTTATAATACTGACATTCAAATTACTTAATTTTTAAAACTTTCTCGAGAAATAAAAATATTAGAGGAAATACTGTGAACATTTACTGAATCTGTTCAACATCATTTGGGAAATATTTTAAGGAGGATAAATATTTCCCTCCATTGTAGTTGTAAAAATAGCCTCAACATCCACTAAGCTTTATACAAGACCAAAACATATTACAACAGTTACAATCTATATGCTGATGCTACAAGTGTGTTTTTGTTTCTCCGGTATAAACTGTACACATTTGCTGTTTTTCAGTCTTCACACAGCTGTATCTGAAGAACAACAGAAGCATTGAGAGTGTTTGTTCATCAGAATCTGATCAATCAATACTTCATCTCATAAAAACACCGGCGTGTGTGAAAACGCCACATCGATTCGACCTTCACTCAGCGCCAGTGTTTCTGTTTCCGTCAGCAGAATATATTCACCATATACCCGAGGATCATAATCACATTATCATATCTAACGCATCAGCAAACTAAATATGACACACACATGCATTAGGGCTGCACAATCTATGGTTTCAGCATCGATATCGCAGTGTGTGCATCTGCAATAGTCACATGGCAGAATCTGTAATGTCAAACCGCTATTATAATTGACCCATTTGAAAACGCACATGATTTGTCAATGTTTAACCGTAATGTTACCAAAATGTTTGTTTTTAGGGCCTGTGTTTGTGTGAGCTTTTTAAAGGTGCAGTATGTCAGTTTGACACCCAGTGATAGAACTAGGTATTGCTCTCCACAGTTTTAAATACACAGTTTTTAATAGATTTCAAGTCATGTTAAGGTCAATATTATTCGCCCCTTCAGCAATATTAGTGTTGGATTGTCTCCAGAACAAACCACTGTTATTCAATGACTTGCCTAATTACCCTAACTTTACCCTAATTACCCTAGTGAAGCCTTTACATGTCACTTTAAGCTGAACACTAGTGTCTTGAAGAATATCTAGTCTAATATTATGTGCTGTCATATTTATTACATCTGGTAAAATTAAACTCAATATCGCAATATATATCATAGAAAAATAAAATATTACAATGTCAGATTTCCAATATCTCTTATTCAATGTTTTCAGAGCCATGTTGAATGATGGACGAGTGTGTGGCATTATGTGAAGCAAACTGAAGATGCTGTCCAGTATTTTAGATGTAAGGCTGTGTGTCACAGCTCATTAGAAATTAATTTAAGCATGGAAATCATATTTCAGCGGTTTGATGTGCTCTGAAAAGCTGTTGTGCATCTGAAAGCGTCCATTCATGAGGACTCAAAGCTGAGGACAGATCAAGCAGAAGCTTTTCATTCACTAATGCTTTCTGCTCGCTTTCTACTGCACCCTGAGGCCACACACACACAAACGCACACACACTAAAGTTAAAAACAGAAACATAATACACTGTCACAAACACACACAGACACAGTCACAAGCGCACACACACAAACTCATAAACACACTGTCAGAAACACAGACACACAAAAACACATGCGCACACACGCAGAGTCAAAAATAGAAACATACTACACTGTCTCACACACACACAGTCGCAAATACACACATTTACACAGTCACAAAAACACAAATTCAGACACACACACATTGTAGCCTGTTATCTAGACAGTCTAACATTAGTGAGGTACAGAATTAAAATAATTAATTTTAAAATAACATTTGAAGTGGTTTAAAAGCTTTAATCAAAGTTCTGCTAAGATTATTCAACAGCTTGTCTTGTCTACTATTGTCTTTAATCTATTATGGTTAAACTATGCATGTGTTTCTGAATTGTTCACTGGTTGATTCTAATCTCAGCTCAACATTGCAGATATTATTGAAATATATTTCATTATATGAAGCATGTCATTGAAATACAGAATACTGAAAATCATTTATAATTTTTGCATTGATGATTTCAAATTATACATGTGAATATGAAAGTATTTGATGCAACATGAGCAGATTTAAGTGCAATGCTACAGTCAATGCTTTGATTTAATGTTCCCATTTCAGGTTAATTGCACCAGCCGTATTTATTTTAACTGTGCAAGTGCTGCTTTGCTTTTTTGTGTGTATTTTGCCCCTGAGGCTGGATTAAATTGTGAAGCTGGAAGTGAACAGTGTTTACAGAATTAGTCACAGAAAGAGGTTTGGCGTTAAACAGCAAATAAATGGAGTCTGTGGGCAAGCTTTAAAAACAGCAGTCATTCTGATGACTAATGTTGAGCCATTTGTTTGCTGGAAATGATTCCACACTCTCAGGGTCTGTATTTTTACCTTCCCAGAATTCAATAAAGACTATCATAGTCTCAATAAAGCTCCTCAATAAAACACATGTGTTCATGATGATAATGATGATATTAAATTATCATGAAATCTAAATTAAATACTGAATTGTTTATTTAACAAAGAGTTTAATTGCCATGCATTCTTTAATCTTTATCAGTATCTCTATTCTGATTGGTGTTTACTTGTGTGAGGGCGGGGTCACACTGTCAGTCACATGAGATCCACCAATAGCAAAGCACAACCATCCAATCAGATCCCAATAGAAAATACAAAGCTCAAAATACACGTAAAATGCACAATATAACTGGAGCATAACTGGAAGAACACCTTAACATAACCTGAACATAACCTAAACATAACCTGGACATAATGTGCACATCTGTATTGTTTAAATTTGATTCACAACACAATAGAAGATAAAATCTATGACAGCCCAAACATAATCTCAACATAACCTGAACATAACCTAAAGATTACCAGAACATTACTTGAACATAGCTTGAACATAACCCTAACATAATCTGAACATAACCTGAATAAAAGCTGAACATAATCTGAACATAAACTAAATATAACCTAAACATAACCCGAAAACAAACCTGAAAATAATATAAACATAACCTGAGTATAATCTGAGTATAACCTGAACAAATTCTGAACATATTCCGAACATAACCTAAACTTAACCCGAAAACAAACCTGATAATAATGAACATAACCTGAAAATAATTTGAATATGACCTGAACATAATCTGAACATATTCCAAACATAACCTAAACATAACCCTGACATAACCTGAATATAAGTGAACATAACCTAAGCATAACCTGAACATAATCTGAACATAACCTGAATATAACCTAAACATAAGCAAAACATAACTTGAACATAACCTGAATATAGATGAACATAACCAGAAGATAACCTGAACATAAACTAAATATAGGTAAACATAACCTGAATATAGGTAAACATAACCTGAAGATAATCTGAACATAAACTTAATATAGGTGAACATAACCTAAACATAACACAAAAATAACCCTGAATATAGGTAAACATAACCTAAACATTACCTGAACATAACCTGAATATAGGTAAACATAACCTTAAGATAATCTGAACATAAACTTAATATAGGTGAACATAACCTAAACATAACCCAAAAATAACCCTGAATATAGGTAAACATAACCTAAACATTACCTGAACATAACCTGAACATAGGTGAACATAACCTGAACTTAACCTAAACATAAGCAGAACATAACTTGAACATAACCTGACTATAGGTGAACATAACTTCTGAACAAACTGAATATATGTGAACATAACCTGAACATTACCTGAACAAAGGTGAACATAACCTGAACATAACCTGTCTATAGGTGAACATAACATGAATATAACTTAAACATAACCAAAGCATAATCATAATAGTTGTGAGGGCGGAGTCACTCACACAAAATCCACCAACAGCACACACAACCAACCAATTAGCTGCCAATGGAGAAAGACTAAGCCCCGCCCACATTTATGCATGATTCATTGGCTGATATACAGCACAGTAGAGGATGATCTCCTCCTGCATGGTGCTGTTATGCGCTCTGACACACAGAATAATGCAGCAGTGTGTGCGTTTGTGAGTATAGTGCAGTGTATCTGGCCTCGGGCTCAGTGTTTTCTGTGTGTGAGTGTGTGAGTCTCTGAGTCAGCAGCCCTCAGACGGATGTGTGTATGATCTCTGGCTCACGTCCTGCTGGAGAAAAGCCAAACTTCAGAAGCAAGAGTGATTTCCAATCCACTGCTAATGGACCACAGAGACAACAATAATACTAAGACCCTTAGAGATGCTGCAGATACACACATACACACACACACACACACACACACACACACACAATTAATACACACACACACACACAAATGCACAGCACACACACCTGACTCAAACACATTCATCACACACACACACACACACATAAACAG